TTATGTGCGCTATAGAGCTTGTGGTGCTGAAACGCGCTCAGTTGCACCGGCGAGCGGAGCCCCGCTGATCAGGAGAAACGGAGATTTTTTTCTATGACCCCTATACAGAGGATTTACTCCAAGTACTTGGATTGATTCAAGACCTGCGCATTGAAGCAACTTCATTTGAACAGAATTTTGTTGGGAAATATTAACTGAACACGGGAACGATCGAGAGAAAGTTGTAAACTTTAAAGAGACAAACGGCATTGATGCTTAGACTGTGTTCAGATGGCAGTAGAGACTTCCAGCTCTCAGAGCTGAGGTTAACCTAATCTGCTGTGTTTTAAATTGTTTACCCAATTCAAGAGGTGGGCGAGGACCAGCTTCCACATTCAGTCCAGCCGGAGCTTTCGTGCGCACACTTTCAGTCTAGACTGCAGGACAAGTGTTGAAGACTCCGAAAAGATGTTGACGTTTTACATCGCATTGTGCCTTTTAGGAACAGGTAAGACGTTTTGTTTTAGTTCAGTAACTATTCTAATGATAGAATCGGATGTGTGTGTATTAGCCTAATCATAACGCGTTTACCGATCGTTCAGCGCGCCCCGTTTTGAAGTTAACGCAGTGGTTTTTAGGTGTGTCATAATTGCATTTTGTGACATATGAGGTCCTAGTAAGACCCTGCCGATATATTGGGCGAGTGGCACTGCGCCAAATGCAAACAAGGGTAATTTGGAAATTAAACTTGTCCAATACAGGCGTGTACTCCAGCATAATGCAGCTGATGTTGATATACTGCTCACTGTGCCCCTACAGAAAAGTACTGTGGCAGTGCCGAGGTACAGTGATGGAATGGCAGCTACATAACACATAATAGCTACTGAAATATATGTATTTGCATATTTCTGCAAGGTAGGGCCTAATAAATGATGGTACATGTCCGAAACATGAGTGCCATAGTTTTTGGTATTTGGTGCATTTATTTTTGTAAACTCTAGTTTTTCCCCTTTTGTGAGGATATGAAGAAATAGGCTACTCTGGCATACGGAAAACTTGACCTCTTAAATATGGTGTGTGTATGCATGTGTTAAGGATTGAATAGATGTGCTTTGGGAACTTTTTGTTGTTGTTGTTTGATGCAATCGCGAGAGCATCAGTAGTACATGGAACAAGTGGCTGCGTTTCTGACTAATCATGCATTATATGCATACTGGACTGGAGGCTATAGCCTAATGTACATGACATACTTGAGGATGTTTTCCAATGCCCCATTTAGTGAGATCATTCAGACAGCAGACATAGAAAGAGAAAAGTTGAAGAAAGATGAACCTGGTGTGACCATGATAATGGCTATCAGCTAACACCCTTCTGAGGGATTGGAAAAGTGTGTTAAAAGCCACAGACTGAGGTCTACTGCATAAGAGATGTGCTGATCACAGTCTCCAAAACAGAAGAAACACCTCTTAATAATTTCACAACCAACGCAATCAGGAAGGCACAATCTCTTCTCTCAAACAGAATAATTTAACAGCATTAAATAAATATAAATGGTGCCGGGCAGAGGTGCGACATTTCACGATAAAGTCTAAGGGGAGCCGGGAATGCGCGCGATCTGAAAGATTATGATGTATTCATTATTTTGTACTTTATGTAGTAGAGTGGCCGCGGGCATCTCTTGCTATCCTGATATGTTGCGAGTATGAATGAGCTGGCTATAGCTTGCTGCACTCAGTGCGCTGCCTCTTTGTTTCTGACAGAGACGCTGCAGAGTAGGGTTGGGAACGGGGAACTGTTTCCACTCTTTAAAAAGACCGAAATCGAATGATTTTTATGGATTTAGAGGATTCCATTAAGGATTCTCGAACATGCTTTTTCACACCGACGCCGACGGAACACCGTACTATACTCAGTGCGATGAGTGCAGTCCGACTCCCGAACGCATGACTCTCATGAACAGGTTATTTTTTGGTGACTCATAAACATAGTCCGAATTCTTACAGAACGAGTCTTATGAACAGGTCCGTTTTAGTGACTCACAAACATGCACCGCCAACAGTACAGCATGATCCCGAACGAATGACTCGTATGAGTCGGCTCTATTTTGTGAATGACAAACATTCAGCGTGACCGTTGTTGTTCAATTTCAGAACTTTACTGAGAATACTCGGCCAAGAAATATCACTTAGTTTTAGTTAGCTAGCAGATACTGAATCAATCTGGCTAAACTGTTCTTGTCAGAACCACTGCCCTACTCAAACGAAGCAAGAACTGTTATTGTGTTATATTCAGACTTAGCTTCTGCAAGTCAGTGTACGTTGTAAATAAGTTGTAAAGATTTAGGGTAAGATGACGTCTGTCACACAAGTCATTAAAATGCATTTATTTTTTATTATTATTAATATTTTTATGAGTTATTAAATTAATTCTGTTAAAATCTGGAATTACTTCATTATTTGGCAGTGCAATAAGATTAACATTTCCCTCCAAATGTTTATTTCCTAGAAAGTATGTACTGTAAAAGTACTGTAGTTATTCTCATCACTACTGCAGAGTGACATTGTGCAAAGTGAAAATGTGTGTAAGCTTGTTATTGCACAACAACATGCAATTTGAGTTATTTTCAAACATGAAAACATAAAGAAAACATGTCTCTCTTTGCACAATCTATGAGTATTGTTTTCTTCAGTGTTGCATTTAAAAGCTCAGTACTCTTTGTACACTCCTAAGTAGTTGTCGGGCACCATATTCAAATTTGCGCTGTTTATTTCACACCAAAGGCGGCGCTACATTTTGCATATTCTGTAGGCTGTTAGAGAGGTTGATTCATTTGCGGAATAGTACAGCATCCTCGAGCCTGGCCTATTTTTACCGTGCGTCGGTTGTTTCCACGCCTTTTAACAAATATTTTATTCATTGGGTGTATTATTAACGCCGGCTTTGATTCAGCTCTAGATAAAGGCTTCAAAATCCCCCGGCCCCCTCAGATCCAAAAGTGTTTCTTCTCCCAATTAACGGTGTAACCGCCAGCGAGGCAAAGCGCTTTCGGTCGGTGCTCCAGTAAAAGAATTAAAAACAAATGTTTATTGGCGGTTAAGCTGCGCTTTCTGTCTGTCTCTTTGATAAATGAGGCTGCCGTATTGACAAGGATGGAGGCGGTAATTAAATTTAAATGTTAAATCTAAATGCCTAGCACCATCACAAACTTAGAGGGAAAATATAGGCGGAAATGTTAATAAAATGCCTGCCTGGTTTGCAAATAGGTTCTAAATTTGTAATAATCATAGCATAAATGTAGAGTATGCTTCAGTTAAGTACAATAACAGAGGTTTATCTGAGGATATGTTATCAATTTTCCTTTATAACAGCTATTTGTTGACTATTGGCTTTTATGTGGACTTTCTAATGCATTTCAGGGGAACACATTTGTTGGCTATTGAGCTTTTCATGTGGACTTTGTAACTCATTTAGGGGGAAAATATGACCATGGAGGCGGTAATTAAATTTAAATGTTAAATCTAAATGCCTAGCACCATCACAAACTTAGAGGGAAAATATAGGCGGAAATGTTAATAAAATGCCTGCCTGGTTTGCAAATAGGTTCTAAATTTGTAATAATCATAGCATAAATGTAGAGTATGCTTCAGTTAAGTACAATAACAGAGGTTTATCTGAGGATATGTTATCAATTTTCCTTTATAACAGCTATTTGTTGACTATTGGCTTTTATGTGGACTTTCTAACGCATTTCAGGGGAACACATTTGTTGGCTATTGAGCTTTTCATGTGGACTTTGTAACTCATTTAGGGGGAAAATATGACTCTGGCTGCACTCTAGATGTTTTTCTCATTATTAAGTGGGTGTGTAAGTAAGACAGAAGGAGGGGGGAGAGGGAAGAATAGGATGTAGCAGAGCAATTCTTTGACAGACTGGTGGCAGCTGCTTTGGGAGGAGCAGAGAGGCTCCCGGACGGCCTGAACCACTCATCTCACCTGACATCTATACAAGCAGCACGCCACACTCTGAAAAACCACCAGCAGCTC